TTTTTTTTTTTTTTTTTTTTTATTATCTTTATTTTGTACACATAAGCAATATTACAACACAGCGGATAAACATGATCAAACAGTAAAAACTGATCCTTAACCCTCGCCCTGAAGAAGGACCCCCGCAGGGTCTAAAACTGGTCGGTGCCGTCACCGGAAAAAGAAAAGTATACGTGAGTATGCCGTAAATAATTAATTATAGTTAATGTAAAGATTATAAAAAAGGTGTAATACGCAAAATTGTGACTTACGATAGAATACATAAGAGATATTGATTTGAACTATAAATATCCCGTAAAAAGCAATAAGCCTTTGTTACTCAATGATAATGTAGCTTTATAACTAAGAATTATTATAATTAGTTTAGTACTTTTTTAATTTATCCTTTACATATAAAAGTACAAATTTTCTGTACTAGCTGTTGCTCGCGACTTCGCCCGAGTGGAAAAAATATAGTCTGTGTTACACAAAGATAAATTACATTTGTAACGGTGAAAGAATGTTTGAAATTGGCTTAGTAGTTTTTACGTCAAATAAATACAAAAATACAAATCTGTCCTCTTTATATTATTAGTATAGATAAACATACCTTTCATCATATTCAGCGACAGCTAACCTATCAGCATCAGGGTCATTAACCAAGATCAGTTTGATATTGTTATCTTCTGCCAATTTCTTGCTTAATTCTAGACACTCCTTCTCTTCTGGATTGGGAAACATCACTGTAGGGAAATCTGGATTCGGGTCTTGCTGTTCGCGGACACTTAGTGGTTCCTAAAAGCATAATTAGTAATAAAAAGACAAGAACTCTAATTGAGATTAACAGCTTCAATACATACTAAAGTTTTTTTTTATAAAAGAAGGTTTTTTTTAAAGTTATTTGTATGTACATGTAAAACTAAAAAAGAAAAAAAATAGTGTGTTAAATCCACTAAAGTCGATTGTATTTCTTGCGTTATCGATTTATTTGATTTTTTATATCATAATACAGGCAAAAATAATACTATATCTTAGGATGGTATAGGCAAGGAAAAAAAAAATGGAGGGAATAAAATCTTTCATGTCACTGGCTGTAAACTTACTAATAAATAAACGCGAAAGTTTAGACGGATGGATGTTAGAATCTCCTTATCGACTGAACCGATCTAGATAAAATTTGTCACATATAGAACAGTCTGGAAGAACACATGGGCTTACTAAGAAATATCTAATTCAACACGAAAGGAGTCACAGGTTACAGGTAGTTTAAAAAAACTCACTTTCAATCCCGCAGCCTGAAAAGCTTTAAGCACATATTCATATCCAACGCCGTGCATCGCGCTATATACACTACGTACGGATGTCTTTTTGTTCATTTCACGTACATCTTCATGTAAACTGTCATGTATGTACTTATTGTAATTGTTACACACGTCTTCTGTACAGTCCTTCACTAATTCGTGACTTCTAATCTCTTCTATATTCCAATGATCCTCTGGAATGCTGGAAAAAATACTATTATCAACTATACTATTACAATAGAACCTCGAAAATTAAAGGCCAAGGGAAACACAAAACATTTTAAGTTTTAGAGGTTTTATGTTTTTTTTTTTTATAACACAAGGTGGCAAACGAGCAAGCGGCCACCTGAAGCCGCCAAAATGGCGAAGCGACCGCTGCCCATAGACATCCACGATCGCAGATGCGTTGCCTACCCGTATCCGACGGAGGAGGAGACGAACATAAAGAGGATGTTATAAAGGGTCCATGTTATAGAGGTTTTGGGCTCTGATGGTAAGGGAACATATTATTTTTTGAAGTTATAGAGGTTTTTATGTTACCGAGGTTTAAGTTATCGAGGTTCTACTGTATAATAATGCGTATACACACTACTTAGCTACTTATGTAGGATTTCAACAATTACAGTACATTTGTGAATAATTCTTTTTTTAAAAAAAACCCTACACACACGCTTTAGACTATGTATTTTTACGATTTTAAAATTAGGTAATAAATGATTAGGAAGAATCTATCATGCGAGAAAGGGACAACAACTACAAGCTGACATCAGAGAAGCAAGGTTGCCATAGTAACGGTAATTGTTATCTAACATCAAAAACTTTGTTGTCATTTGTGCATTTTAATTTTGACATTTTCTATTTTTATAACGGTAAACAATTTTTTATTAATTTCATGCGGATGAAAAAATATAAAGTTTTGGTCCTTCGAGTCGGATGTTCAAAGAAAACGATTTTAAACTTAAATAATGGTACTAATACTTTAATTTATTACGGATCAAAATAATTATTGTAACTTACTCCAAACACTGCCAAATCTCATCCAATATATTATCATCATGAGGACCTATGACTTGAGAACCATTTCCCCAGTAGACTTTATACCCATTGTCCTCTCTTGGGTTGTGTGAGGCTGTCACCATGACACCCGCGCCGGCTCCATACATAATAGTGGCAAATGACACAAAAGGAGTGGGACACACCTTTGAGAATAAATGAACTGGTATTGATGCTGATATAAAAACCTTTGTTGTTAATTCTGCAAATCTGTTAGAAGCAAAATACCATGAATCATTAATTAAAACCAGTATTTACTGTTTAAATTAACATTATAACTAGCAAGATTTGCTTATTTTATGCAATTACTAGGTAATGCACGCGATTTAATCAGCGCGGTATTAAAAGAAGGCTTAAAAGAAGGTATTCTTCCAGACTATGTTTTACATTTGTACCTTTCATCGAAATTTGTTAATCCCTTCTGACAAAGATCCATCCATCCATCCATCTAAACTTTCGAATTTATCATATTAAAGAGATTAAGGGCCTGTCACAACAAATTGTAATTTGTCTTATAACAATCCAAAGTATAAAAGATGTGGTGGAACTATCTGATTATGTGTCCTTATGACAGTGAAGTCATTTTTAAGCTATCTGAGCCTCTATCAGCCAGTGGTGGGACAGGCCTTTAAAATGATTGTATACTTACATGGCTTTGAATTTGATACTTATTTAATATAAATATTAATCATTCTTTTAGCTCTTAACTTTGATAAAGATATAACATATTAATTTTATGAGCAACTAGCTTTCGCCCGCAACTCCGTACGCGTGGAAGTAAAAAACAAAAGTGAGTAGCCTATGTGTTCTTCCAGATTATCCTCTACATCTATACCAAATTTAATTGAAATCCGTTCCGGCTGAACTCTAACAAACATCCATCCATCCTTCTAAACTTTCGTATTTATATTAGTATGAAGTATGATTGTGTATTAAGAAAATTAAATACACTATCGGTCATAATATCTAGTTATCATATGACCCCGTGGCAAGAATTACAATATCAACTCTATGTTTATAACACTGATAACACTGACCAGGCAAATAGCCGTTCATTGTTAACACAATACAATAGAATGAGAAATTTATTTTATGTAACAAGTTGGATAAATTGAAAAATAAAATTAACAGAACTATATAGAATATTGTATAAAGTGCTACTAAATCTAGTAAACATAGACTAGATCTAGTATATACATAGATCTAGATCTGTGTGTTCTTCCAGACTATGCTCTAAACCTGTGCCAAATTTCATTGAGATCCGTTCAGCCGTTTAGGCTACAAACGCTAACAAACATCCATCCATCCATCTAAACTTTCGCATTTATAACATTAGTAAGAAGTAAGATTAAAACTATTTCATACCTCTTACTATTGTGTCGGCCATCGTAGCCGACTACTACGCCGTTACGGAGTTGGCTTTGATGACAAACCTTCTGTAGATACGATAGAAGACCCTGGAAAAAAAATACATAGTGCTACATACTCTAATATGTTTCTCTAACAGACATACTGACTGCACAAGGACACAAAGATATTCATGTATACACATGGCTTTGACATGAATTGACCATTGTCCTATTCTTCACAGAAATTAATGTGACTTTTCCAGTAGGTTGATTACGTCCAGGGCCGGTACACATTGGGCTGTATCTAGTGAAAGTTTGTGCAGACCTTTAAGGGATGGTTTTTGTAAAAACTTTTCTTAGTGAAACCATTCTAATAGCGCCATAAACATCGACATTAGATACATTTTACGTTATTATGTAAATATATATTACTGATACAAAGCACATTTAAGCAAAAAAAAAGACTTTTCAAACGTTAGATGAACTTGTCCCTGGAGGCCTTAGATACAGCCCAATGTGCGGCGTCAGGGCGGCGACCACCCAGGGCGCTTGATGCCCCCCGCAATGCTCAAAAATAGGGCCATAGAAACCTCGCCCTAGTCGCTAGTAGCGATTACGTCATTGGTATCCACTAAACATTTTATTTTTAACTAAAAAGGTTGCCAGTTGCTAAATTGTACTATTAGTAAAACATTTCTAATCTAAGCATCCCTTACCTGGGCAGTTTGTAAAACAACTACATCGTTCATACAGTTGTAACCGGCAGCCATGCGCCCGCGCAGTCCCGCCGTGCCGAACTTCTGTCGCTGCAGCATACATCCTTCCAGTTTCTCCCATCGGGAGTTGGCGATGTCATCAAGCACCTCTTGACGTGTTGTAGGATTCTGTAAATTTATTAAATTTTTCCACTGGTACATTACCCTTAGTGGAAATGGGTCTTAAGAATAAATATGCAGTAAAGTGAATTTACTTATTACCATTACAAAGTGCTAATGTATCATATACATAAGATATTCATGTACTATCAGGGAATCTGATGGTAATTTGAATGTTTTGTAATGACACAAAGCAATAGTAAGACAATATCAGGTGTGGAGCATGACTTGTTGCTTTTTATTATTATTCCATTATTTGCTTATGAGTTGGTCTAACTGAAAGGTGGCAATTTTTCTCTAAATGGAACATGACAAAAGCCCCTAACTGTACCCATCTCTTACATAAGAACTGTAAAACATGCTAATTGAATGTAAATGTGATAATTCAATTTATGTTTATATCTTTAAATAAAACTTAATCTGGGTAAGCAAAGTACCAGCTGAGGCGAGCATAACCAAATACTCTTTTACACAGTTCTGGTTAATTTTGTTATAGATAAATCTATTTTTAATACATCCAGTATTTTAACAAACATATCAGTAAAATTGAGTAAACATGACGTTTAAAACAAAAAAAAAATCAGAACAAACAACAATTATTGACAATGTAATAAAATATTACATTAAGATGTTAATAATCTTGATAATCTTGACCTTGTGAAGTTTCAAATGTTCCACAGATTATGCAATTATTAACATAATTTTCATCATTAACACAGATAAGGTAACTTGGACACTTGCTATCTGGACAAAACAAATTGAACATTTTCCTAAACTGAGAGAATTTTTTTTACAATTAAATTATTAATCTCTAAACTAGAATTTAAATAGAAAAAAAAAATGGTTTAGATACATTTTTAATTTCTGTTCTTAATATACTAATAAATGCAACCATACTATGCAAGTACACATTCTGATACTTACAAAACACTGTAACTACATTTACCAATTGGACCGGCAATTGCTAGGCCTTGACCGCAATACAAAGAAACATTGACAAAAAATTACCCTTGAATGTATGAAACCTAATTTATTAGATCTTTTTTCTTATAGTAGTAGACAGAAAAATGTTAAAAAGAGTGAATGGATAAAAGTAATTCATTATCTGATTTAAAAATACTTCAATAACATAATTTGAAATCAAAAGTAAATTTAAAACAAAGCCGGTATTGAAAAACTGGTTTACGTCGGATGTGTCTGGAACACTCTATTATTCTTTTGACCACTAAATTGATACCAAATTAAAAAAAAACTTAAGAAAAACAGACCTTATCGTGTTTTAACCAACTCTCGACGGCAGCATCCAATTTCGCGTTTCCACTATTACAGACAGTCATTTTGAATAAACCGGCTAAATTATTTTTGTAATACTTAATTTAAAAATCGGAAATTAAATATTAAACTATGAAGTAAGAGATGTAAATCAAACTACTTGGTACACAAACTTTTCCACGATCTAGATTCTGCACAGAATCAGATTGTTTTAAGTAACAAGAGATCAATTTAGCCACAGCCTAGTGAAGATATGAACATTTAAATTGAACACGATCTCAGTAAAAATGTTAGATTTTTTCCATATGTTTGTCACTGATATTTGTCACTTGTCAGTGTCACTGTCATTTGACTTGACAGTAAACACAGGGATATACTCAACACTATATCTCTAATTTTAAAATTTGCTAATTGAGTAAATTGAAAAGATTCAATTTAAGTCTAAAATTAAAATCAATCGTAGGTGTTACTCATTTTTGAAATTATTTATTGTTCTTATTTTTATAGCAATTTATTCTTATAAATTAAATAAACACCTAATTTGACCCTGTTTTGGCATTGTGTCAAAAAATTAAATGTCAAGTGACAACGTTAACGTTTCATTTTACGTGCATGAGACGTATAATCATATTCCAATGCAATTTTAATGAATGTTATGAGTAAATTATTATTTATTTTCATTTTGATAATAAGAGAAAAATACCTAGGTAAATAATCTGATTATCTAAGAAATTATTGTTGAACGGCAAAAAGGGGTCATAAATATTAAAGCGCCTAATTTTTTTTTTATAGCAAAACTGCACTTGTGAATACTTAGTACAGTGTATATTATATTCTTTTTAATTTATTTTTTAAATTACTTTTTAAAACTATGTCATATGTACGTTCAACACATCGTGTTCCATATCACCATTTACAAGAATGAGAATATTGGCTAATTTATTAATTTATGATTCCCTATAAATAAATATGTGATTTTCTGATTTTAGAACATCACATGTACATTTATCCAAATTTCTTACGGCGAAGAAAAACATCATGAATCATTTTGCAAATAAAAGCTGCGAGGAAATTAGATGAGTGAACTATACTGTAGACCTGGTAATAGCTTAAGTTAATTAATTTACTTATTAGCTGTTCCTATTATTTTATGAGGTATTAATTACACCATTTGTTATTTTTTCTTTTAAAATTGTTCCATAAACAATTTTTTCAGAAGTAAGATGAGATGAATTCCAATCGTCTAGCGGTCTTTGTTCCTGCGCGTTTCGTTTTGAGCGGTTGCCTCACCTGGGTGACGTCACCGGTCATTTGATTAGGAAACTGATTTTTCAATCAGCGTCCAATCATACAATTGTAATTGCTCGAACGGAACCGACCACTCCGCGCCCCCGCGTCCGGCGTGCGGCCCACCGCCCACGGACTACGTCGATTTTCATTTGTGGACACACCGCAACTCTATGGAAACCAAAATAAGTATAGATAATACTAAAAAGTAAAAGATTTACATCGTAAATAGTAGGGTTTTTAATTCGAATTTGGACATTCTTGGACTTCCAATAATAGAAGCGTTGTTGGAAGTCCAAGAATCCATTAGAAGTCCAAAGACTAAATCAATGAGTACGGCCCTTAGTGTACTCGTATTTACTTATAAAAAATATATTATTACCTAAAATTTTCTTAAAGTAATAATAAATCTTTATTTCCATTTTCAATTAACTTTTTTATCCGAATCTTTCCGGTTATTTCTCATGTGACAGCAAACACTATAAATTTTCCCTATTTAAGATTTAAAAGCATAAAAAGTTAGGTTAAATATTTTACGTCTGTAAAAAAATTACCTATTTAAGTTTATTATATTTGTACAAATAAAATCCTTTCAGCTAACAATAAGGTTTACGACATTATTACAGTAAGTTATATGTAAACATTCAATTATTTTTTTTATGATAACATCTAATCGTTTAATGATGTGTATATTTTCATAATATTTAATAATTTAAGGTATCGTGATAAGAAGAATTATGTCCCTAAAGTATTTAACACTTCATTTTAACAACACTGACTATGTGGAATTATTATTTGTCGATTTTTAAAAATTCACTATTAATTGATTGCTTTCTTATTATTTGAGTACATTTTAGTGTTATTATTTTCAACTTAAACAAATCTATTGAATTGAGTTTTTCCTTTGTTTATAGTTCGATATTCAAACGCATTCTTTGCTCTCCCGAAAGCCCAATTCGATAGTATTTTTGACATAAGCAGAAGTAAAATATTGTCTATGAAATGCATTCCATAGTAAGTAGCTTACCGCGTCCAGCGACTTGAATATTGAATTATTTCTAACCTTAAATAGTTCAGATGTTTAAATCATGAAATCGTAAATTAAAAGTGATCACAAGCTGAAGATAATTCAGTAGACTAATGGCAGGTTTCCCAACGAAATTTATCCATTCGTTAGTGTTTTCGGTCCGATAGCTTCTTGAAATGCGTTTCTAAAGCACATTTAAATTTTACTGCATTGGAACTTAATGCTAAGAAGGTATAGGTTTAGGGTTCATTCTTATTTATCCTGTTTCGAACTTTTAAGGCCTGTCCCACCACTGATAGAGGCTCAGATAGCTTAAAAATGATGTCTCTGTCAGATAAGGCAACAAAATCCGCTATTTCCATCACTTATTTTACAGGTTTGATTGTTATCAGACAATTTACAGTTTTGTGGGACAGGCCCTTAAATTTTTAAAATCGCGGGCAACAGCTAGTGACAAAATAGAAACTTCAGCAACCAAGCATTACAGGCATTAAAATGGAGACATAAATCGTATTAATTTTTATTTCATAACTAACGAATCGGAGATACACGAAGTTTATTTCTTTTCTTGTGTTTTTGTAGCGGATTTACTTGACTGTGAGTGTAGTGACGTAGACAAGGTAACGTCATTGAGTCGATCAATTAGTGATGCACTGATGCGAACTGCGCCCGCGCAACTCTCACACGCTACACGATGACATTCTAGCCCGACCCTCCCATTGAAGTTCTATACGTCCTAATGATACCTAGTGTATTATAAAGAAGATCTTACTACTTATTTCTTACTAATATTATAACTGCGAAAGTTTAGATGGATGGATGTTTGTTAAAGTTTGTACCCTAAACGGCTGAACGGACCTTGATAAATGTAGAGGATAGTCTGAAAGAACGCATAGGCTTATTTTTTGTTGTTTTTTTATTTCTCGCAGACAGATTCGCGGGCGAAAACTAGTCTTAGTCTCAGTATAAATTTAAGATCTAATATGAAGACTTTAATTTCCGTTTAACGTAGAGTAGTTAATTTTTAAACACATTGGGTTTGACCGTATTTCTTTGGCTAAAATAAAAAAAAACCTGAGGATTTCATTGCTTTTATCATAACAGTAACAACAGCAATATGTCGTCAATGACTGTAGTACATCTTTATAGAATTTTAATGCAATTCGTCTAGCCAACACCACTTTTATCTTTTGCAAAAGAAACATACAGACTAATTAACCTCCTCCTTTTGGAAGTAGGTTAAAGGTATACTATGACATGTGACTCTATTCTGTCAACATCACAACGTTGTTGTTTTCATGTAAACAACAATACAACAAACAACAACAAACAAATACAACAATACAGAAATAGCTACTTAATTAGCTATTTATTGTTATCATTGATCTTGAAAGTTCGTGATCGATTCTGTCGGCGGGTGTATAAATAAACTGAAACTTGGCGTCAGGGCGGTCATGTTAGTTTCACACGAGGGTACAGCTAGAGGAGTATACATTGCAGTACCGATATTGCTTTGAAAGCATGTACCGTGAAATTCTGTGAACACTTGTATTGGTATGGTAGAAGAGAATGAAAAGTATGTCTTTGTTATAGTTTAGACAGTAAAAACCTATAGTTACTGTTCTGTGTTTATTTTGTGGGTCAAATTAGTACTGTATTGTTTACTGTTCTGCGTTACTGTACTGCCTTCGTGTGAAAGAAACTTTAGGGCGGGCGGTCCTCTGTTAAGGCGGGCGGCAGTACACAGTTATCAGCTAGGGTAGCGGACGGAAGTTGCACATCGAATTATTTCGTGTTAAGATTTGCGTTGATTAATTTTATTTACAACAATGGGCACGGATGATCTTATTACTTTATTGTCGGTAGAGTTCGAGGTTTTTGGACAAGTACAAGGTTTGTATTTTTTTTAACTTTTTCTATCTGTTATGGCTTTTATGGAAATTTTTCTTGAAACATGAAGCAGTGTTTTAACACCGTTAATGTTGACTTTTTAATTCTACTAAATGCAAATTGTTATTGAATTCTGCTTTTGCTTTTTCTGTTAAACCAAACAATATTAATAAGACTTAAGTAGTCTAAATACTAAATAATGATATAGAATAATTTGTGAACTTATTTCAATGGTTAGTTATACTATGTGTAATTTTTATGAGTAATTTAGGGAAGCCTTGAGAAACACATTGATTGTTTGTGTTAAATAATTTGGTGTCCATACATAACGAACGGTTTATCCTCGGTTCTGTAACTGAGTTTCTATTTACCAAAGTAAAAACTTTCAGAAAACAACAAGTCTATGGATTCTTCAAAGGACGATAGTTTCGAACGAATAATTTTAAATAACACAATGAAGAGAACTTCGTGGAATATTATTTATAAAAGCAATTACCATGATAAGATTTTTAATTGGAATTTTTTTATTGACATATTTGTGTAATGGAAATTGTTTACTTATTCCTCATTGTTTTCTAAATTATATTGCGTTTATTACAAAGGAAATAAGACCACAAAAATGTGTAAACGAGAACCATGAGACAGTTTATGAAACGTTTAATATTAATTTGTGTCAATAAAGGAAATTTCAATGTAATTGTGCAGTTATTATTATGCCAAATTTCACCGCGACCCGTTTAGCCGTTTAGGCTACAAATTCTAACAAACATTCATATATAAACATTCACACGTAAACTTTCACATCTATACTATCATAATAAAGCTTAACCACACATTTCTTTGTTGCCTAAGATGTCAGCAGTTACAACATATTTTTGAATAATTCTTTTTTTAATAAAAAGCCCTACACTTACGTTACGCTTTAGGCTATATATTTTCACGCTATTAAACTTAGGGGACTAATATTTAGGATAAAAACTCTAATGTGGGAAAGAGACAATAAGTTGCTGTCAACATCAAGTAAGCAAAATTGCCATAGTAAGGTAATTGGTATTTTGACATTTGCAACTGTGAAATTTGACAAATGTAAACAATAACATAACGTTTTTTTATAATCTCATGCGGATGAAGCCGCACGGGAACAGCTAGTTTATAACAGTCGTATGGATATTTGCATTTGGTTTACGTTTACCCTAAATAACTTTCCCATAATATACAAATATTGTATGTAAAAAGTTAATAAGTAAGAAGTAGAGATAATATAAAATAACGTCATTCGATATTTACATATGTACTGCGTAATGTTTACATAGTATAATTATAGGTAAGATTATATCTAAGGCTTTATTTTTATATATTTGCTATGATACCATAATATGCTAAGTAAATATGCATATATTTACAAATCCTTCCTCCTTACTCTACCTATTTACATTTCTTAGGTCGTACTTTTTAAATTAAATACAAAAATAAATCATACTAATATTATAAATGCGAAAGTTTAGATGGATGAATGTTAGAGTTTGTAGCCTAAACCGCTAAACGGATTTCGATGAAATTTAGTATATACGAGTATGTAGAGGATAATCTGGAAGAGCACATGCTACTCGCTTTTTTAAATTAAACGCGGACGGACTCGCGTGCGAAAGCTAGTATGTATATAAAGAAAATAAACAATCTCCTGATGACGTAATTCTGCATTGTTTACCGTTTATTTTTGTTTGTATACAAGAGAAATTATATCTATGACAGATGTACTGGATACTAGCCAACTGTCAATATTCTAGACTAAAATTAGACCTAACAACTGGCTATCTAGATTTAAAAGTAAACCTAGCGTTTTAAGAATTTAACAATGCAACCGCATCACTAGATTCAGAGTATCGCCAGCAAGGATTATGAGCTAATTTAGAGAGAGGGAGGCTAGTAATAAAAGTTATTTCTTTCCTTTACATCAAAGGGAAAGCATATCAAGATGTGGTTTGATTTTTTTATGTAATACTGAAAAGCAGTTTTAAGTTACCTATGTAAATTAATAGAATAACAATCCCATTAAATTTATTTTACCTTAATATTCATAAGTTGATTTTGAGTTGCATCTTGTTTGGCATCCAAGTCCCAAGATTACTCAATAATTCTATGTACTTTCATCTCAGTGATCAAGGTTCGTTCTGACGTCAATAATATGTTTGCAATCGATAGAGGTGAATCTATTACTATTTATTGCGAAATAAAGCTTGTTCATCTGCCTTTGAACAGATCGACCTATTTAAACTAAATGCTTTGTATCAGAAAATCAATAAATCAGTATTAATGTTATTTAAAACCATACCGATCTTGCCGCGTCAAAAAACCTTAATCTATTTTAATAGATAAATTCTATTTGTGTACCTTGTAATGTTAAAGGTTGACTTTAGTCGGGTTTTAATTAATCGAGAGTTTCTTTTTAACCTACAGGATGTTTCTTTACCAAATACTGCAAGGATCTCGCGCTGCAGTTAAACATTACTGGCTGGGTGAAGAATACAAAGATGGGAACTATAGTAGGCAAGTTGCAGGGAAGGAAGGCTGAATTGGAACACATGTAAGTGGTTGGAACAAGATGGCAGGGGCGGTTTATCGATCTTATATAGCCACTCATCACTAAACTTCAAGGAAATCGTAGTTAATGTCACCAGCTCACTAAACACTCCTTCTTAATGTGCCTCTCCGACTAGTGAAGGTTTGCGGTCAGTTCTCCAAATTTGAATCTATCTCTTGCGAGGCGAAACAGTTGGGTGGTACTCGCAATTCCTGTCCACTCTCGGATGTTGCGTAACCAAGATTTCTTTCGTTGACCAACACTTCTTTTGCCGGCAACTTTTCCCCATCAACATTAAACACTAAAAAGAGAGAAAAAAGAGGAGTACTAAACTTGCAAACAAGGATTCCTCTTTAACTTAACATTGATTCAACGTTCACTACATTCTGCATTACAAGATAGCTGTGCTACTTCTTGAAAGATAAAATCCTGATCAACTTTACAAGAAAATGTCCGGATTTTTCTTAAGTTTTCCGTTTTTTTTTTTACTTACTATGCTAAACGATAAAATCCATGCAAACATTTAGATGGATGGATGGATGAATGTATGTTTATTAAAGCTTGTAGCCTAAACTGCTGAATGGATCTTGATAAAATTCGGCATAGTTGCGTAGGATAGCCTGGAGTCGCAGGCTTTAGTTAGTATTATCTGAATGAATTCATACTGTTTTAGTTGTAACAGCTTTCATAATAATGAATGAAGTGTTATAATTCATTTTATTGTTACAGGCTTGATTGGCTGAGCACCACAGGGTCTCCAGGCTGCAAAATAGAGAGATGCGAGCTAAGGAATTGGGTGTATTTGACGCGCTTCGATTATAACGACTTTAGCATACGCTTTTAGTGATTTGAAAATAAATTATTTTGTAATATAATTTGTTTTTTTATTTATTCCAATATTGACATATTTATAATAGAGACAGTGTACTCGTAATAATCCTTGGAGAGGTGAAATTTACATACATATTTTTATGCTTAATTTTTTTACATCGAGTGATCAATTTAATGTTTTGATACTTTTAATCTTGCAACAAGTATTCATTTTTATTTAATATCAGTTACTTATAAAATTTGAATCTAAATATAACGACAAAATAATAAAGATATAGGAGTAAATATGTAGCGCCTTAGTACGGAAGAAGGAAGAGAGAATTAACTATAATAAATAAATAAGTAAATCATAAATAAAACACTATTTATTGACCGCGTGAAATTATAAAAAACTTTAAATTACTATTTACAATTGTTAAAATCTCAATTGCAAGTCAATTACCGTTAAAATAATAACCATGCCTGCTTAATGTTGGCAGCTTGTAGTTTATGGTCCCTTTCCCACATGAAGGTTTTTCCAATTTAATCACCCATAAGATTAATAGCGTGAAAATATGAAGCGTGTTGTAAGTGTAGGGCTTTTTATTAAAGAAAGGGTTATTAAAAATATGCTATGATTGATGACATTCTACGCTACAAAATATTGTATGTTTACGCTTTATTATATTAGTATAGAGTATAGATAGTATAGATTGTTATTACATAGTATTTATATACCACAAGCGACTTGTAGGTAAATAATTACAGTAAAATCTCACGTCAATTCCGCGTGCGTCATTAATACGAGAAAATCCACGGAATCCGTTTTTACAACGCACTTTACTTTCTGTCGCCATGTCAATATAAACTACAGCGTGTTACATGTTTACATTGTTTATGAGTCCACTGCGGATTATATTTACGCAATATGTACAAACCGACAGCATTAATATTTTATTTACATATGTATGTATTTTATGTAATTCTACACAAAAAAAAAACTAGCGCACGCGCGGACAAACCAATTATATGGTTTTTGCGGGGCCATATTTGTGCATATTTTTTAATTTGTGTCATGTAATTATTTTCAATTAATAAATAATTAAATTGCTTTACACATAGAATCTTTTTTGCTAACTTATGTAAACCTTGTTTTTTGAGCATAAGAAAGTGGTTGTCTATTTGTAAATATCAAGGAGGAAGTGCTATTATACTAAGAGCGTGCGCACATCTTTGACTAAACTATGTCACAACTGTTTAGTTTCGCTTTGATTCCTATGATCTTATATGAAAGTGAGCACACTATTCGATTTTTAGTTGTGCAACTAAATAGTTGAGTTAGCTGCGAAACAATCGACAATCGCAGAGCAGTTATGCGATAGTTTAGTCAAAGGTACTTTTTTGCCCACTCTTAAATTACACAAATGACCTCTTTATCGATTTCTAATACCAATATCGAGTATGTTAATTTCTTGTAAAAAGTTCTTAAAATGTTTCCGAATTTTTCTCAGTATTTATTAGTCATTTGTTACTGATATAAATAAAGAACAAAGAAATACAATTTGACATGAATCCGTTATCACGCCGCGTTGTTATCGCGGTATAGGGAAGCGTGCCAATGCACTCATTTATTGATCGTAATGATTACTGCACTGCAGCTGATTCCAAATGATACGCAGATAAAAACAAATGTAACGGTTTTATACAATTATTAAATAACACATAACTAAGCTAACTGTAAGTCCTCATTATAATTGGACGTAAATGACTTAGGTGAGCACTTTACTTGTGATCTATAGGTCTTGAGTTCGAATCCCGCTGTACCAATGTGTTTATTCAAACCATATATGTATGTAAAGATAAACATCGTGATGCAACCTACACATTTCTGTCAAACTTCTAAAGATATGTATGAAGGCAAACAATACCGCACTGCGCTAGCGTAGTTGACTATGACCGAGGCATCCCTAAATTAAGGTAGTCTCCGAACCCCTTGGTAATTGCCCCCGATAATTGCAAAACTGTTATTAGGTACATTCTTACGAAAAAATAAATAATTCGATTGTATTTTACTTTGCATACTTACTATAGCTTCTCTATGCAAGAGCAGTGTGATGATTTATTTTTTCCGTCTCAGGGAACTTAGTGTTAAATGAAAACTGCGCAAGTTTTTAAGAATGAGTGCCTGTCCCACCACTGGCCGATAGAGGCTAAGAAAGCTTAAACGTTACTGTCGGATAAGGTAACAAATTCCGACATTTCCATCTCATATTTTACAAGGCGGATGTTATCAGACAACACGCTATATTTTTTTATTTTTATAATACTAATATTGTAAAGAGGAAACAAGAAAGAGGAATTCTTTCACCGTTATAATGTTTTTTTATTATTACTTAATTTTACGCAGGCGAAGTTGCGAGCAACAGCTAGTAATAAATAATCCGAATTCTGTCACATGATACGAAAATATATCCGCATGATGGCTTAAATGTAGATATTATCTAATATAGATTAATATCTATAGATATCTTTGTGCTATCCATGATTTATCATATTATCAAGATTTATATATTTTAATATATCATGATGTATCATCGTGATTTAAGGATGTAAGATATATAAGCTCAAAAACATCACAACTTTGTATTTTAGTAAAAATAAAATTTTCATTTTGTGTTAAGCTGTCCGTCTTACGACTTTTGGGAAGTCGTTCAAAAATAAATATAACGTAAGTTAATAAGGAGGTACTCTTCTTATTTTCTTTGTTACTCTATTCTCTTCTTTTACTTAATTTGTATTTGATATTATCTATTTCCAGTTCTCCCTCTCTTGTACCTTGAACAATAATATGACGGTCATTTTCATCTTTATCTGCCCTAGTTCTTTCCCTATCTCTTTCTCCTTCTACTTCTACTTTTATAATAGAAGTGATTTTACTAATAATAAGAAAGAATCACGATGTACATACTTACATACATTGTTGCAAATTGTATGAATAATGTCCTGACCACTCTGCAGCCCTGAACACTGGTTGCTTGAGTCATCGGATTCCGCAGCCGGTGGTGCTCTATTTTTTTTTATGCGTTTTTATTATATTTTTATACAAATCTTGTAAAATATATTATATAGAGAATAAGAAATAATATGTGGATAGTAATGTCAATAAATTTTACATTGTTACAATAGAGTTCTACAGCCGAACCTATTCAAGAATTATCACCCTTTTTCTCTTTCGAAATAGCATGAAATTTTAGCTTAGCAACATAAAGTGTTAACAGTGAAACGTTTGGTTACGTAATTATTGAAGATATAAATATACATTTTATGAATTAGTGAACGTTTTAGTGAATAATATTGCTAATCATCATCAAAAAATCAATTAAGTGATTGATTTTTATTGACGTCAATTCCATATTTAAAAATCGATATTGATCAGTATTATGGCATCTGTAATCCTCTTTTAAATAACGATAAAATCTATTATATGAGTGTATGGATCAAACAATAATTATGTTTTTTAGACTTGAGTGGAAAAGTGGGATTCAATTCATATGTACCATATATGAATGCTTGCTCTTAAGCTTTTGCCCGCGACACCGTCCATGTAAAATTAAAATATCAAAAGTAAGTATCCTATGTGTTCTTCCAAACTATGCTGTATATCAGTGTCAAATTTCATTAAGGTCCGTCGAGCCGTTTAGATTGAAATTTTCGCATTTATTGATTTTTTAATTTTTGGTCTTTTGTATACCATTATTTTATGGTCAGTCCAACCTAAGGATGGTAGAGGCCGTAACAGAATTAGCTGTTCCTAGAATGGCGTGCACTCCCGGTTAAATACACATAGATCACATAGACAAATGTGGAGTGGATGTTATTCTGTGTTTCGTCTGACGAGTTTCTATCCTTGAGGTCAATTTTCTTCCCATCCATATCCTAATAAAGGAAAGATGTAGATGAAAATATGTAACAATGATTTTTCTTTCGTTTGCCACCTTAAAAAAAAATGGCTAGGTATTTAAACTTTTCTGTTACCTATATGTAGTGCAATTGTAAATTACCATATTTCAATTACTTTGAAAAACATACAGACGATTTGAATACCCCCTTCTTTTGGGAAGTCGGTCAAAAATAAAATTTACCAATACGATTTAATTTCTTGCTACAGCAAAGTCTTTTATTGATTTTTATTACTTTAAACTGTCTAAATTATTCTTACAAATGATATTTTAACAACGACTTTTTGCATTTTTATTTTGATTTCGTACCTTTATTAACATGGTGTGGTTGACAAACATTAATTTTTGTTGTTTCTACAAATGCATAAAATGTTACTGAGGGATATTTTTTTAAAGCAGACAAATATTCAGACTGTTTTATGAACTTTTAAGATAGAATAATCATGAAAGTAGGATTTCATCGGTGCGATTTAAGGGATATTTACTAAAACGATACGTTAAATTATTAATTATTTTATTAAATACTTTGCTTTCACAACGACGTAGGTACATTATTTACATAGACTTACAAACTATTTCTACTAACTATATAAAATATAATACAAAATGTGGAATGATCACTTTGACTTAGATCTCAACACCTGCTCAAACTTATATTTATAATTCGCTTATTTACTATTATATACTAAGAAATCTTTGAACAAAATCGGTTTTCTCTCTTATTTAACAAAAGAAATAACAGTTAATAGTCTTAATATTAAGACATATAACATAAAGATGACAAATTACAAATTCTTTCTTTTTAGCATAATAAAATTCATTTATAGTTTAAAGTTCAAGTCAATGTTAGTTTTCTTTGAAGAATGTTTTCATAACTATTCTTTTTAATTATTAATAACAATAATTTTGATTTTGACAGTAATACTGGACAAAGTGTTAATAAATCAGCAGATTATACACAATTGTTTAATAATTTTCGCTCCAAAAAAGATAGAAGCGATTTAAATTTTTACACGTTTTTAATTTTTTTTTGGTCGTTCAAGAGGTTCACTTTGTAGTAAAAGCAACATTCCACCAATACTGATGCATTATTAATAAAACTTAAATAAATAACCGTGAAATTCCGCGACAAAAGCCTTGTATTGTTTTCTGTCTTTTCTAACAGATAACAATATTATATACAACTGTTTCGAAGACCACAGTTAACAAACTTAAATAAAGAAAATATACGTTTCCACGATTTCTTAAAGCGCCAGCGCTAAACGAAATGGCAAAAATTTGAAGAATTCTAATCAATATAAATGCAATTATCGAGCCATAAATGAGGTGATTTAATAAAATTGATAATGCAATCTATGGCACAATCGAACAGAATTATAAAAAAACATAAAATAAACGGTACTTTGTAATAAAAATAATTCTCAAGATCTATGTGCATGTAAATATATAGAAAAAGAATATATCTAAGAGGCAGGATAGAGCTCTGACCTTAATCTCAAAGAATGAAGATATAAAAAATAACAACAAATTATCAAGAAGAAAATGTAACTAAATTACTAACTTAAAACCGTTAAGTTCCTACTTAACGATGTAAAGTTAAAATACTTTTTAACATTTTACAATTCTTGGTGTAACAAAAATGCAGTAACAGACAAAATGTTTTTTTCAAAAACATCTCGCTTTTAATAATTATAAAATACAAAGAGATTAAAAATATATATAGAGGAGGCATAGATCGTCAAATCCATACATCAATATAATTAACTGTATTTAAAATAATATTTTTTTAATACTGTCTATTTTATAAGAAAAGATGGAGTCTATTTTGATTTTGTAAAATGTTTAATTGCATATCAATACATAGAGTTACACTAAACTCGTTACCTTTCAGAGAAAGTACCGGTGAAAAAACGTTGTTAACTATGCCCAGTCTATATATTATTTAAATGTCTGTCAAAATAACAATACCAGTAATAACGGACAGTACTGATTGCCACTGGATATATAACTAAGTAACAACACTGCAGTCTATAGAAAGTTCTAGACTTTTTCCTCTGGCGTTTGCAACATGCTCGCTTCTTCCGTTTTCCTGGCGGCGGAGAGCGCGGCCGCCGCCAGTACCCTGCTGTGTCTCTTTTTAGTTCTCTCTTTGTGGAAGAAGAGTCTAAGGTAATGACAGGGGAATACGACGCAGTCTCCCGCGGGTTCCTCTGCATCGATGTACACTCCTCTGACGAGTATGGAGTTGGAGCAGTTAAGTAAAATGAGCAATGTTAGACTGATTATGTGTATTGACCAGTTGCTAAATTTTGGTCGATCTGTAACAATATATATTAGTTATAGCATTACATAAATATTAAAGCCATGAATCGCGTCTTCATCTGATTGAAATTTAAAAATATAGCTAATATTATTCAGCGATAATGTAACTTTTTAATGGCTAAAGAATTTTTGAAATCGGCTCACTAGTTTTTGAATTATTTCAATATTTACAAAAAAAAAAAATCCAAATCTTCCCTTTTTATAATTTTAGTATACACAAATTAAGAAAACAACTAATTTCTTGACTAATTAGTAATAAGTAATCCATATATTGTTATCAATAATAGGTCCTTAACCTTTTATAATTGGTAAACACAGCTATCAAATGGAAAATGTAACTAACAATGCAATCCGATAAAGTGAAAACACTTTACCTGGAAAGTAATACACATCGAGCAATCCCCATACTCCTCGCCACACGTTGACAGTCGCCACAAAGGACATAAGATGGTAGACATCGACCAGCAGCAGGCGCGGGGCGCCGTGCAGCCGCGCCGCCGCCCACCGCATCGGCACTTGCAGCACGAACGTCACCAGGACTACTACGTACCCACCCACCTGGAACAGAAGAACATTTTGTTGTAGTGGTAGAGCCCGCTTTAACATCTTCGCACGAATGGGTCGGCTCGCCCGGTGAAATACTACGACCACACATAAGTGAGGCGTGAAGTGGGAGCAAATCCACGTGCCAGAGGCCCAACTTTAGTTTATTTTCTGTTCACCTTTGTCATATAAGAATTGAACTGGATTTGACGCTGGAAGACGCGCATAGTAAGGGGAAATATCCTCTTATTTTTTCGTTTCCTTCACCGTCGAGTAAAGGTAGGCAACGCATCCGTTATTGCGAATGTCTATGGGCAGCGGTTCGCTTTGCCATTTTGGCGGATTAAAAAAAACTTAGTAGACTTCTGGGCTATTTTTTTTCATCTGTGCCAAATTTAATAGAGATCCGTTAAGCCATTTTAAATTATATATGAAAAAGCATCCATCTATTCATCTAATTTTTATATATGAGTAGGAAATAGAGTTAGGGTGGAATAAAAAAAATCATGACACTACTCCCAACAGACTCGGTATGTGTGTTCAGGCTATGAATTACTGGAACAAACATACATACAGGTCTACGAAAACATATGATCCTTTTTAATTTCTGACAGTGTCGAATCATAGGTGATATTTCAATATTATCTTTTCATATTACAATTTGATTGATTAATTAAAATAGTCACATTAAGATAAATTACGTGATAACTTAAATATATAATTTATACTTAATTGTAGATTCTTCAATTTGATATCAACAATAACTACGCGTAATTAGATAAACATGTCTAATTATTACTTGATTCTTATCATTTCCTTTATGAAAGTAGTGAAAAGGTACTTTATATGAATTATAAAAATAGTTTAATTTTAATGCACTTATTTTCTGTAAATCCACATTTTGAAATTTGTATATGTATTTGCATCTATACTCTTATAATAAAGCGTAAACACACACTTCTTTGTCGCCTAAGATGTCAGCAATTACAGCATGTTTTTAAATAATTCATTTTTTTAAAAAAGCCCTACACTTACGTCACGCTTTAGGCTATATATTTTAACGCCATTAAACTTAGGGGGTAAATATTTTGGATAAAAACCCTAACGTCGGAAAGAGACTATAAGTTGCTGCCAACATCAAGGAAGCAAGGTTGTCATCATGTCATGTCATTTTGACATTTGTAATTGATAATATGACACATGTAAATAAAATAATTCCATGCAGATGAAGCCGCACGAGAACAGCTAGTATTAAATATTTAAATCTAGCATGTATTTAAAGTAGTTTTTAAAGATTTTCGAAGTTTACAAAACCGTTTACGAATTCAACAAACTACGGAATATTTTTTTTGTTAAGTGAAACAAAAACGAAATGTAGACGAATAATATTTACTAGACTTCTTATCATAACCGTATTATGTCCATTAAAATAAGTCACCTTAATGATTTAAAGTAACAACTTTAGTCATAAATTATTTAGTTATCCCACAAAAAACGTTAAATCAACACTTTAATACTTTATACCAATACTGTTGCTCTCGACTTTGTCTGTGAAACTACGTTACTCACAGATAAATTACCTTTCTAACGGTGAAAGAAATTTTGGAATCGGCCCAGTTTTGAGTTATTTCAATACATACGAAAATCCAAAATTACAAATCTTTCGTCTTTATAATATTAGTGTAGATTGTAACAACGCTGAAAAGAGTCTGTTGGTATCTTGAAACATTTGAAAGTAAATCAGGATTCACTTATAAAAACAAATTCATATACAGATTATCTAACAATGTACACGTGTACTGATAAAGTTTAAAAGCAATCTCTTTTACAATCATAATTCGTAATGATCTAGATAAAACGCTAAATCGTGGACAAAATTAAATCTTAACACAGTGAACTTTATCGAAACGATAGAACAAATTGTTCTTATCTTTAATAGTCTATTACTATTTTGATAAGAATGTCTATCGACGTATACAATTTGTAGAGAGATGTAACAATGTGGTTTTGAACAGAACTTTCTGCAATGGGAAAAGTATTTAACATTATCCTAGAAGTGTTTTCTGATTTTTTAAATTGACACCTGTAAAGCTAACCCTATTTGAAAGAAAGTGATAATAATGTTATCGCTTTTGTATTAGATTTGTACACTACACTGGTAAAATCACACAAATTTTAACTAGTTACAAGATTATTATTGTTATTGATTGTAAAATAAAGTAAACAAAGTCCTTGGATTCACTATGCCAGGGAATGAACGACGGGGCGAACGCCCATTAAAAAAACACAAAAATCCCACACACAAATTTGGTCGATGACGTCACTATGTCCTATTAGATTAAGGTACCAAGGAAGTTCATAGAATTTCTTGATTTAGCCGGTATTTTACGAAATTTCATATGTTTTCTGATTCCAGTAAGATTGTGCTATAAATAAAAAAATATTAGCTCGAATAAATTGTAAAAGTAATAAAGGTAAAAAACTGAATTTGAATCAAGATGCATGTTTATTTAAAAAGAACGTTCATCATCATCTTTCTCCTTATCCTACTCCCGTAGGGTCGGAGCAACAGGTTTTTGTCCTCCACATAACTCTATCATACGTCATCTGTCACTAAATGAATTTAAAAAGAACATTATCATGTGAATAAGATATATTTAAACACTTATCGATATTTATCGAATTCCACTACTGAACTATATATGATTTTTCGATGTAATAAAATTCTAAACTGATTATTTTATCTGGAAAACTTTGATCCACTATCAGCGTATTTAAAAAAAACAAATCTAAAACAATTCCGCGTATCGTGTGAATTTTATTGTACGAGATTAACAGTGATCGTTTACTTTTCATTTTTTTTATTGTTAAACAGATAAAAATATCAAAAAAATTGTAAAAGGACTTTTGAAATTGGAATTGATTTTTAAAAAAATATTAAAGGAGTTAAACTGAATAGGAACCGTACAGTTAAAAGGGGAAGAGCATAGATAAAGATAAACAGGGTATAAGTCACTTTTTGGTTTTAATACACCTACTTAGGTTTCACTAACAACGTTGCAAAACCTTTGGTGTTCAGCAGAGGGCCGCGTATTTATAAATCTATCTTTTATTTGAATAAACTGGGTTTAACTGGCAATAAAATTTTATCGTTTTATATTATGGATTAAATATTTGAAGTCCAGAGGATTTAAAGTGATTAGATACGCTTTTGTTTTTATTATTACGAGCACACGCCAATTCTATCTACGACATGGCCTTGGCATTAATTGATTTATTAAAAAACAATTGACTATATTAGGCTATTTGCTTTTGTTTTTTTTTGTGCGCGGTAGCATTACCGACGGAAGCTGGAAATCCATAAATCTTTTTTTTTGTTTTTCACAGAATAAATAATACCAATAGGCCTTATGCAGATATTATTTAAATTAGTCGAGATATAACTATTATGACAAATAATAAAAGGTGTCACAAAAGAGTTATTTCATAGCTTACTTTTTATTATGATTATAATACTACTGTAAAATGGTATTTTATCTTTGTTACAGCTTTATTGTTACACTAGCTTTCGCCCGCAACTCCGTCCGCGTGGAATAAAAAAAAAAGTGAGTAGCCTATGTGTTCTTCCAGACTATCCTCTACATCTATACCAAATTTCAACGAAATCCTTACAGCCGTTAAGGTTACAAACTCTAACAAACATCCATCTATTCATCTAAACTTTCGTATTTATAATATTAGCATGAAGTATGATTAAGGTTGTTAAAATTAAGGCTCCTGTTAAGTAATTCATTAGAAATTGATAAAAAAACTAGATTTTGTTTTCAATTTTTAGTTATCAAATATTACTTCCTTGTGGCGAACAATCGATCAAATATTATCTTTTATAATTTTAATTTCGAAATGTATAAAATTCTTTACATTGATATAATTTTGCATACTTTTATTAATGTGCAGATGACATTAAACTGTTACAATAAATTAACAAGCGATTATTTTATAAAATCATAAATTAATATTAAACAACTAAGGGTTGATACAACTTTTTTAAATTGACACGAAAGTAACCAAGCTAACAAAGACGTTGTTACGAATAATATCTCAAACGTAAAACACAATAACAGTGTATTTTTAAAGTTAAATACTTAATAGTTACATAATTACTCAAAAAAATATATCTAATAGCTATATATCTGCTCAAGCACTAGTATACTTAAAACATTACCTCTGTTAACTATTCACTACAATTATAATGACACACTTAACAGATTTATATTTAGAGTGAGTTTACACTACCCACACTTGTGTACAAACATATGGCTATCACCTATCAAAGATGATAGCCATGTAACTTGATAGAGAGGACTCTTTTAAACTATTCCATGCCCCTTTCATATTCTTTTCTAGGAAAAGAAAGTTGGTAATAAAAGGACGGCCTACGTTCAGCAGTGGACGACCTATGGCTGACAATGATGATGATGAATAAAAGGACGACCGGAAACATTCTCAGGCAACACAGTCATCAATTGATACGAAATTACTTCCAATTCATGATTGTTTATGTGATGTTTTCCTACATGTCGAGTGGACCATTTGCAACATTGCTCTACCATTTAAATCCATTATCCAAAATTACGATAACTAACATATTATGTAAGAATCACGTCAACAGTAGACATTAATATAAATAAATAGATAAACCGGCGCCTTCTATAAACACTTTGTAAACATACAACTTCCTTATCGAACTATTCAACAAGTGACTGCTGCGAATGGATGATAATCCTTTAATGGTCGGCTTTGCTTTTACAACCGCAGTGACGACTGGATTTGTTTGTAAACATGTTTAATTATAGTGTTTGTTGACAGACGCATGGAAACGTCCGATAGCTTTATTTGATCAAGAATTGATTCATATTTAGAGTAGATCCTGTTAGACAATTTATATAAAACGGTAATAATATTTATTTTAAACATAAAAATACTTAGTTATTAAAGGTGCGATGTTTGCCGATGGACTCATGACGTTATACGTTGATTTTTGGTCGGTGGTAGTTAAGAGGAAGTCATCGCATTCAAAGATATGTGTGAAGTCAACTCATTATTAGACCAGCGTGGTTGACTATGGTCAAGTCACTCCTAACTTAGAGTAGGCTTATTGAGGTGACGATGACAGTCCTCAATACAATCAAAAACGTTTCAGATAAATAATTATGCAAATAGATGTTTTTGTTAATTATTTTTTCTTAAACAAACTTTAATTTCACGTTATTAGTTGTTCCAACAGGGCAAAATAGATAACTTAATTAAGTTTTAGATATGTTATCTATAAACACCGACGGGTACATATTGTTTGTACAATATAGGGAACATGGATATAAAACTTCCATGTAAATGAACTAAAAATAGCATCGTCATTATTCAATTCACCCCACGCTGACCGTCGGCCAGTAATAAGGTAAACATGTTGTAAGAGGAGACTATAATGGCAGAGCGTTTGCCATTTCCTCAACCCACGTGTACAGCTGGTCATGACCGTGAACAAGGTAATAACGATAACTGTATTGTACAATATGATATGTAGCAGTGGTAATGCAGATGAATTGCCAAATATTATGGATTTTTAGTTGGCGCTAATAAGATGGTGTTATGCTTGAATTAAAAAAAAATACTTCATTTAGATTCTAAATTCAAACACGTAAGTTCCTTTTATTAAGTAAATGGCAGCCATTATGCTATTTAATTCGCAAACAATCCTTATTCATCGTTTATATTTCATAACAATTTTATGAAAGAGATATTAAATATAGATATCTCCTATCACTTTTATGATGATTGATGATGACTGTAATTGTAAACAAAATAAAATGAACGTTGGAGATAGTTTTTATTTTAAATATTCGTATCTCCTTCCTTCCTTTTTTAACTTTCTTTTCTTAGTCTGTGGTAGTCTACTTGCTTATTTGTGTACAATATCACAGAACTGTATATTATGTTGAACAGATTTTGGTATTTTCTAATATTATTCGAAAAGATTGTGTTTTTTGTGTTACTTTTATTACCATTAGGGTCGTCGTTGATGGTGTTAATCGGATTCGTAGTGTTTTCAACGGTTGTGTTGTTCGTTAGTTGATATGTTGACCTTAAAATTGTACGTTTACAAACAAGCGGTACATCGGCGTAGAGGCGTAGTACATGTGAGAGAACGAGGGGCGAGCGAGATGCAAAAGGAAGCGCCAATTGCCTCGGTAAGTGGTCACTGACTCAGTGCCGAACTAAGTATGACCCACATGCGGAAAAATAAGGTTCAGTTTAGCGAATTCTGCATACAAAAACAATATTTTCTTGCTAATTACATTGTACTAGCTTTTTAGCCTGTCTCTGTGCGCGTGGAATTGAAAAAACAACCAAAATAGTTAGCCTATGCGTACATCCAGACTATCCTCTACATATACGCCAAATTTCATACAGATCCGCTTAGCAGTTTAGGCTACAAATGCTAGCAAACATTCATCCATCCATCTTTTCATATAGACTTTCGCATTTATAATATTGGTAAAATTGATGCTTCGCAGTGACAAATAAAAAAGCAGCCATTTTTGTAGAATTCTCTAAAGCGATTTTACATTGCTTAAAAGCTTTTGCATTTAATACCATAGTCGAAAGATTTTCAAACAATAACTATTATGTTTTACATTATGTTTTACATTCTTTTCCCAAACTTAAATATTACAATTTCGTGGATATTTTCTACAGGGAAAATAGCTTTAAATAAACAATTTGTACGCAGTGAAAAATGCTTCCCTAATTACAAGTATAATAATGGCAATTGTTTTTCTTTCATTGTTTGCAATTGAGTTAACATTTCTTTATTCAGTTTAACACTCGTATGACCTGATGTTACTGATAATATTTTATCTTGAAAAGTTACATGAAAGATTTTTAATGCAGACTAGTAGAGGTTATTATGTTATACAAAGCGTAAAATACTGAGTCATTTATGTAATTTTGGCTGTCTTTTTGACCGACTTCCCAAAAGAAGGAGGTATTCAATTCGTCGGTATATTTTTTTTTTT